CGGCCGGAGCGGGAGCCCCAGAAGCTGCCGGTGACCACGCCAGGCTGTGCCTCTGCCCGTGGGCGTCGGGACCGGGATGGTCTTCACTCGCCTCCTCGTGACACATGGCACCAGCCTACGTCTCAGCCCCGAGAACCAGACCCAACGAAAGGCCTGGCATGACGGAGACCTCAGGGCAGTCTCACCCTTGGCCTCGGCGCTCTCTGGTCCAACTTGGCAGGAAATGAGGCTGCGGCCAGAGTTCTGACAGTGGGTGACAGCGCAGCTGGAGGGTGGGGTTCCCAGGACGTCTGCCTGGGGCCTAAGGAACCAGACCAGCACACCCTGGTGACTCCCGCGGGCGGGCGGTCCTCCCGGCCTGCAGTGTGCCCTCCAGAGCTGGTCAAGGTGCCCAGGCCCCTCCTGGGGAAGTCACCCAGCACGGCCACATGGGGGTCTCCTGGGAAACCCCATCTTCTGTAACTGAGCTTCATGGCTCTGAGGCCTCTTTCTACCCTCAGCGCGGCCACGGTCAGCATCGCCCGCAGGCTCCATCCCACACACACAGAACTGCACGTCTCGGTCCTGCTTTATGTCAGGGAACAAAGGCCCCTGGGTCCCGCCTGCCTGGCCAGCGGGCTCCGCCGCTGCTTCTCGGGCCCCTCCCCCGAGGTCACAGGAACCGCACTCGGTGTGAGCAGCCGCCCAGTTCGGGCTGGTCCAGGGTGACAGCCAGGGTCAGTGTCACTCTGCGCCTGTACCTGCCCCGTCTCCCGCTGGACGAGGTCCTTCAGCTCCTCCGTCCAGCCCAGCAGCTCCACCAGCTTGTCCACGCCATCCACCAGCTCCCCCAGCTGCAGCACGTCCCTGCTGCGAGGGCGCCAGGCCAGGGACCCCGCCGCCTCCTGGTTCATGAACACGCGGGGCACCGAGCTGCGCACGGCCTCCGACAGGCTGGCAAAAGGCTCCACCTGAAACGGCCGAACGGGAGGAGCCGTGTCCAGCCTCGGCCTCAGGAGACTGCGTGCGGCCCAACCCGGGAAAGGAACCCCCGCCGGTGGCCACCTCCCGCTGCTCCCTCACCTCGTCCCAGTCAGTCCCGTCCCACTGCCAGCCTCGGCGGGTCTCCCTGGCAGGCTCACCACCTGTCCTCCCCACCACGGCCTGGCACACGGCAGCCTGGTCTGTCCTCACTCCGCTCGGAGGGCAAGGACCTGGCCCCGCACTGAGCGAGTGTGTGTGAGATGTGGCCTTTCCCGTGACCAGTGGCGCTCATCCCAGCCCCGCACGCCGCGGGCGGCCCCTCCGCGCCCTCCCTGTGCAGACCCTGACAGGCCTGACTCATTCAAGAGTCAGTGTGACACCCCCAGCCGGTGTGGCTGTGGATAGAGCATTGGCCTACGGACTGAAGGGTCTTGGGTTCGACTCCAGTCAAGGGCATATACCTCGGTTGCAGGCTTGATCCCTGGCCCCGGTCAAGGGCACGTGCAACAGGCAACCAATCAATGTGTCTCTCTCACATCGATGTTCCTTTTTTTCTGTCTGTCCTCCCTCCCTTCCACTCTCAAAATCAATGGAAAACACATGCTCGGGTGAGGATTAACAACAACAACAAAAAATGTCATAGATCCATAATCCCTTCGCTCCCAACTCTTAGGGCTGGATGTGCCCCCACACTCCTTACTCTCACCTATACTCTCCCTGCACCACACCCCCACACTCCCTACTCCCCCACACTGTCCCTGCTCTCCCCACACACTCCCTGCTGCCCCCCACTGTCCCTGCTCTCCCCATACACTCCCTGCTCCCC